CCGTCCATCTGCCTATACGGAACCCAAATTTCCTCAGGAATCGAATGGAATAGGTTTTAAGGCTCTATCTCTCGTAGTTTCCAAGATAATCGCGAAGAACGAAAATGCAAAAAAAAATTAATTTAATTCATGTTGTATGGGGTGTAGGAAGTGGAAGAACGCAATTCTCAGCCACCCACTTGCCTATAGGGGACCCATATTTGGTTTTAAGGCTCTATCTCTCATAGTTTCCGAGATAATCGCGAAAAACGAAAATGCAAAAAAAAATTAATTTAATTNAAAAACGCAATCCTGATGTATAAAAATACAACTGCGTGAAACACGCAGGTGTATAAAAATACAACTGCGTGAAACATACAGTAGTATAAAACTTCAACTGCGTGAAACACACAGTAGTATGAAACTTCAACTGCGTGAAATACACAGCAGTATGAAAATTCGGCTGCGTAAACACACAAACTTCACGCATGCGTGGAGTGTATGGGGTGTACGGGAGTGATTCACGCGATGGTGCGAATAGTCACGGCCATAAAAATTAATAAAAGTGAGAAACGGTAAGGTTTTACTATTCAGGCACCCATAGAAAACAATACGTGCCCGAAGCGCGCGCAATGTTCTAGTATGAATTCAATTTCTATTAATGTTGATGAATAGGGTCTATAACCCAGAGTGAACTCCCTCAATAATTATAAGCATTAAAAAATTAATTGCAATTCTTCGATACAGGAAATAAGAAATTTAGGAAAAATGAATAATCATTGGAGAAGTTCATCCGAAGTTCATGTTCAACATAATAAGCCCCTAGAGCAACATGATTATCATAATTGAAACCTAATCAGGTTCGCCTGGAAGTGACTCGATTGGAGGAATACACAAAAAGATAATGAAGAAAATGAAAAAAAATAACCGAGCATAAAAATGACGGCCAGATTACATCTAGATAGATGAGTTTTCAACATAAATGACAACGAGGAAAAAGTACTGACAATTGCTTAAGGGTGCCAAGTGAATTTGTCGATGACCTTGAAAATTGGCATTCACCAACAAAGTTATAATTTTTTTAATTAATAGTATTAGACAGACGGTGAACATCGGTGACAATTTTAAAATTTTAGAACTTATGGATATCGAGAAATTAAATAAACAAAATCAGTCTTATACACGGCCTCTTATGGAGTTTTGATTAAATTGAACGTTTCAACCCCCTAGGAACTTAAGAAAAATTTGAAAAAATTTGAAGATATGGGGAATGATGTGTTCAATGTGATGGCGACAAAAAACAATGGGGTGCCGGGGTGAATAAGACAGATCTTTCAACCCGCCGTACCCATTTGATCCCATGCTTCTCGAGGTTCGTCACGCGAAATAGAGGATTTTCCGCATTTATTTTCTTGATGTCTAGTTCCGGTTGCGGGTTTGAAATTTCGTCGGATAGATGAATAAATATTTCTCCAATGATGGAGGGAAAGAAAAAATTTGTTTTGAATCTTTTTTCAAATTCACTTGGCACCCTTAAGTTGACCGATCAGTTTGCATCACGAGACATGCGTCGAGTCAGAAATGGTCAGAAAACGGTAAATTTATGACTGACATGACACATATAAAGAATTACCGTCATTTTGCATCCCTACTGACGATATTAGTCTCCTGGATTGACAGGAATATCCTCCTCCAACTACTTCCGCGTCAACAATCAATTTTGTATTGTTTCCTGAGTGGATTGGTTTTACTGTATTACTTAAGGAAGTAATTGGCGATCCATCCATCAATCAATGAGAATTAATTATCCACTTGGTGGTTTGGATTGTGGAAAACGAGAATAATACAATTGTTGACTGGAGCCGCCAAGAATGATATAATACAGAAACATTAATCAATTTTTAAAAAAATGACATGAGAAAAATACTGTGCCTAGTTCAACACGATAAGGTTTCTCTGTGTTGACATAAAAGTGAAGGAGTGGATTATTAGCAATAGCCACTGAATTTATGATTGACCGTTTAGAATGTCATAAACATAAAAAATTAAGAGCCATAAAACATTTTGAACGAATGCGAAATGAGTCCAAATCTCAATATCCGGAGAATCGATTTTCTATTGAAGATTGATTCAAAGAAATGACTAATAAATGGGCAATTTTTAAAAAGATTTCGTCGCCATTGATTGACTGAAAATTGTGGAAAATAGGTTTTTAATGAACAGAAGGAAATCGGTCCACGTTCAGAAATTTTAGTCAGTCAATGCCCTGTGGTAGAATTGATGAATTTATTTACCTCGAATAATGTGAGAAGTAGTTTGATGTAGAGCTTCCTTATTCCAAGAGATTTACCGATTGACGCGAGAAATATAATGGCAAGTAAGAACATAAGAAACGGTGTCAGAAATAGTGAAAATGTGAAAGATACCACTGACATGAACAACGCCATTTTGCATACTTGCTGATACTGACGGGTGGTAGATTTTAGGCTTTTTGTTTCCGTGTCTCTCCGGAGTCGCACTTGGGGGGCGTTTATCACGCGGTAGAAGGGAATTACAAGAGTGTCACTCTAGCGTGTTGTTTGTGTTCAATATTGTGCTGCCATCAGTGAACTACTTGGGAATCCCCAGTGTACCCAATTGGTGCGGTCGATAAAGTCGTCAAGGATGACAGAAACAGGAATTTCCTGTAACTTTTCTGCGTGTTTTTTCAATGGAATCCCGAAAATAAAAGTAAAATTTTTTAATTTGTATATAGGGATGGGTGGGGTAAAATGGATACGTTAGACTTTTTAAAATCATTTATAACTCAGAAACAAATTTATCAATTGAGCTCAGTTTAGGCTCGTCACAAAGGGAAAGAATTGTTCTTTGTATTGAAAAAGAATTATTAAATTTCATCAACATTTCAACCCCTCATTAACATTTTAAAAAAAGTCAAAAGTGTCCGTTTTACTCCACTAGCGTATGGGGCGCGCTACGCGCGCCTTTACCCAGAGTATGGTTGTCTATATTTCTAGTAGCACAAAGGTATGGTTCCGAGCAAATTCATGTCCGGCTCAATTTTATCTATTTGTTCTGACCTTTTTTACTTTTCATATTTGAGTTACAAACAAAAAAATTATTCTTATTATTATTTTGTTTATCGTCGATTTCACACTTTTCCTTTATTTCGTGATGAGTTTTTTTTCCGTCAATTATTTAGGAATTATTTAGTCATCATTTTTTATTTAATGGTCTTCTACTGAAGTTGATGACTTATAACCTATAAATTATAGTGACATATTTCATATTTTTTATAGAAAAATGGTCGTGTTGTACGAATGAAGAATTTTATATTAGACCGCGTATGAAAATACATATAAAGAGGTTTATTTAATTGGAATAGTACGTATAAGCAGACCTGTTATGGGCAATTGAAATATCAGTTATTTAAAGAAACTGAGATTTCAATTATCTGGGGCCCACAACCCATATTCTCTTCAAAAAACCCAGACGAAAAATTACAAAAGAGAATAGGAATTGAATTGAAGTAACTGTGTGTTTTCTGTATCGAAGATTCAAGATTAGTCCATGATCACAGGTCCGTATGATGAAATAGTATATTTCGTAACGAGTGCAAAAAAGTGTTTTTTGGCGAGTGGGAGGTTTATATCACGAGCCGAAGGCGAGTATGGTTTATGAAAACCCACCATACACCAAATGAATGATATAATAAACTGAGATTTCAATTATCTGGGGCCCGNTTCATCAACATTTCAACCCCTCATTAACATTTTTAAAAAAGTCAAAAGTGTCCGTTTTACTCCACTAGCGTATGGGGCGCGCTACGCGCGCCTTTACCCAGAGTATGGTTGTCTATATTTCTAGTAGCACAAAGGTATGGTTCCGAGCAAATTCATGTCCGGCTCAATTTTATCTATTTGTTCTGACCTTTTTTACTTTTCATATTTGAGTTACAAACAAAAAAATTATTCTTATTATTATTTTGTTTATCGTCGATTTCACACTTTTCCTTTATTTCGTGATGAGTTTTTTTTCCGTCAATTATTTAGGAATTATTTAGTCATCATTTTTTATTTAATGGTCTTCTACTGAAGTTGATGACTTATAACCTATAAATTATAGTGACATATTTCATATTTTTTATAGAAAAATGGTCGTGTTGTACGAATGAAGAATTTTATATTAGACCGCGTATGAAAATACATATAAAGAGGTTTATTTAATTGGAATAGTACGTATAAGCAGACCTGTTATGGGCAATTGAAATATCAGTTATTTAAAGAAACTGAGATTTCAATTATCTGGGGCCCACAACCCATATTCTCTTCAAAAAACCCAGACGAAAAATTACAAAAGAGAATAGGAATTGAATTGAAGTAACTGTGTGTTTTCTGTATCGAAGATTCAAGATTAGTCCATGATCACAGGTCCGTATGATGAAATAGTATATTTCGTAACGAGTGCAAAAAAGTGTTTTTTGGCGAGTGGGAGGTTTATATCACGAGCCGAAGGCGAGTATGGTTTATGAAAACCCACCATACACCAAATGAATGATATAATAAACTGAGATTTCAATTATCTGGGGCCCGCAACCCATATTCTCTTCAAAAAACCCAGACGAAAAATTACAAAAGAGAATAGGAATTGAATTGAAGTAATTGTGTTTTGTGTGTTTGTACGAATGAAGAATTTTATATTAGACCGCGTATGAAAATACATATAAAGAGGTTTATTTAATTGGAATAGTACGTATAAGCAGACCTGTTATGGGCAATTGAAATATCAGTTATTTAAAGAAACTGAGATTTCAATTATCTGGGGCCCGCAACCCATATTCTCTTCAAAAAACCCAGACGAAAAATTACAAAAGAGAATAGGAATTGAATTGAAGTAATTGTGTTTTGTGTGTTTGTACGAATGAAGAATTTTATATTAGACCGCGCATGAAAATACATATAAAGAGGTTTATTTCATTGGAATAGTACGTATAAGCAGACCTGCCCACCCAGGCAGGGCTATGGGTTATGGGTTTACTGCGTCACAAAGACGCAGATACACCCACAGATTCACAGTCTCCCGTGATTCTGGTTGAAAATTGTTAATAATAAAAAAAAACTAAACGATAAATCGTTATCTGACAGGTGCCAATATTTTTTATTATTTTTTTCTCGTTTTTAGGAAAAAAATTAGATTTTAATCTTTGTTTTAACCGGAGCTGTGTCAAACTTAGCGTTCTTCACATAAAACCCTGTGTTAAAAAAAAAATTTTCAACATTTTCATTTATAAAAACTTGAACGACAATTAAATGAGGAAAAAAATTACGATTCCGAATCACACAGAGTTTTTAGGCGATTTGTTGTAGTTTTTAAAAATCTTTGAATTGAAATATAACCTCCTAAGTGTAGAACTACTTTAAGTTCGTTGCCTCACATGCGAAAGGTTCCGAGTTCAAATCCCGGCCGGGTAGAATGGTGCGATCTAACCATTTAAAGTACTGATCATCATCGCAGTACACCCTAACCGGGTCGAAGCGATGTAAAATAGCGATAAAAAAAAGATATTTCTAGGAGGAATTCTTCGACAAAAATCTCGCATATAGAAATCACATTCTGTCAATTTTTTCTATAAACTAGAAACGGCCGCGCTTTGCGCGCGTTGTGTTTTCCATAGATGCCATAATAGTAAAACCTTGTCGTTGCTCACTTTCATTAATTTTGATCTTAATAATAATGTAGGAAAAATGAATGGTTTCAACGAAGTTCTTGCAATGAGAAGTTAATTGTTGAATAATTTATTCGCAATCATCATAAGGCTCTTCATATTCTTCTTCGTTTCTCTTTTGCTTTTTGCGTTCTTTTTGTTTTAGGGATGTATTATTTACTATAAAACATATATACTATTCTTTATATTTTTTTTACAGTTGAAAAAATTACAGTATAAAACGCATGTGTGACATATATTATATACACTATATGATATATATTATATGGTATATTTATATATACTATGTTATATATGGAATTTTTTTTCTCTTTCGTATACCCTCTCGGGTCTTTACGATTTTCCCCTTATTCCAATCCCTAACCCCCTGTACCGTATTCGCCGAAGAACGAGGAAAAACCTCACTTGAGGAAAAAACCTGCCCAGGTACAGTCGCCTCTTTACGAAATTCCCCGCTCGACAATGAAACTGAAATTGAGAGTGTTAGAAAATTTGGCGACGCCGCCGGGAAGCGAACCCGGGTTCCCCGCGTGCCAATCCCACACTCTAACCACTTTTAAAAAAAAACATGTTTATTCAGCTAGATATTTTTACATATAATTATTTACATTGTTATTCTTAATGTCTACGGAAAAAACATGAGAAAACATACAAACGAAAGGGAGGGTAATATTTACAGGGGGAGAAAGACAGATTAATTATCTAGGGGGTGGTCAGGAATTCACCAATAAAGATTTCGTAATTTCCTAAAGTTGTAGTTTTTATATCTATCTGGAAGAGTAGTATCCCATGTTACACGATTTTTATCAACTAGACAATTAATGTTTTCCTTATATATAATTTGTTTTGGTTGGTTACCTCTTTTGGTGTGATATATGATTGGTATATTGTTTATATCTTGTATTAGGTTCTTTTTATCTGAATAAAAAAAAGCCTTTGGAGGGATGAAACCGGAGGTAAGGGTTTTTGCTAAATAATTGTCATTGTTGTAGAAAGGCGATCCAATTTAATTGTTTAAACCAATAATTTTTGTTAATTTATAGATGTAATCTCTAGTTAGTTTGACACTCTAATCACACAGCCACAGCCGTTGGTATGTTATGTATGTGTTTTTTTATTACAGTAAGAAACGAATTTCTCTTTTTTTACTATTACTGCAGGGGGGCGATTTTGCGATAAAATTGTTGTTTCATCCAAAAAAGAAATGTTTTTTTTTTCAATTTTTCATGCCACTGATAGGGGAAGGGGGGGGGTTCCAATTCGCATGTAGCTAGCATTTTAAAAAAATTGAGAAGCTTCGGAAGTCTATCTCCCCACCCTAGCCGAGGCATTCATCAAGTGTAGGAATAATTCTGGGGCGGCATAGGAACAATTCAATGTTGGCATAGGAAAATTTCTTAAGCCCTCTTATATCACATGCAGGAATCAACGAGAAAATACCCTCAAATATAGAGACAAGAACCTCAAATTTTCATGTGGTACCGAAGAATCTTTCCCCTGCAGTCGTAGAATTTTCCTGGTGGTTTATTTTTAAAATTCATAGGGGCATATAAATAATTCTCAAGTGGATTCAGAAGTTTTCCGATGTTCCCCTAAGCCAGTTGTGCCTCGTTTCTGGCGCTCAGCATGGGAATTTTTCTCGGGTTTTTTTCCCCATGTACTAGTATTTTACAGTATTTACAGGTAAAAGTCCCTCGTCACAAAGTTATCTATTTGTAAGGACAAGGTTCATATT